TGAAGCCGGCAACCATCTTGAATGAAGCTAACTGCAGTTAGAGTCATCCAGCTGAGGAACAGTGTATATGAAATACCTGCATGAATCAAGATTGGAATTAAGGTGACAGAGACACATATTGCAAGCAACGTGTTCAACTGACCTACAACTTGTATTCTTTACAATCTCAAATATATTAACTCCTAAAAGTCGCCATGATATCAAATAAATGGTGAAATTATTTCAGATTCAAAATAAAAATTTTGTAGATTCTCCCAAATCGTTTATGTGGCTACCTACATTTGAAAGGATCATTTGAGCCAAAATTATTCTAAAATGAAAAGGAAATCGGAGAGGTTCCTTGCTAGATCTGATTCTCTTTGACAAAAAAAGTTAAAATCAAAATTCATGTTATAACATATCTATGTACTATAAAACAAGTCAATTTATTTAAGTAAATGGAAAACACTGGTTCTTTTAGAAACAAAATATTAACCCCTTGTGCTTACATCCAGTAAAGAAGGTCATCTTCCAGAGCATAACTGACATTTTCCATAGCAAGTGGGTGATTAATTATATGCAGAATCCAGAATGGGTCTTGGCCAAAATACAAAATATGGAACCAATTCATTCATTTTCAGTCTCTAATCTTGGCAATTCAAAATCAATATCGAACATAATGTTACCATCTGGTAGGAGTTCAGATCACAAATGATTATGAAAGTGTGACAATCTGTTACAAATATAGACTCCAGAAAGTTACAAAAATGATTGCTGATCATAATGTATGTCGGCACTTTTTGTTAGTAAGATAACAAGACAATTAGTTATGTTGTCTTACTTCCGTGGAAAGTGCATCTTTAAAAGTCATGGCCTGGTAGTAAAATCAACTTAAGATTTATCTAGTGTAGGTATACTGCATACACCTTACATTTCACAAATGCTACTCTAATTGAAAATTTACAAAATTTAGCTTTATTCGGTCTATCACTGAAAATAGATCTACTTTCATTAGTTATCATTTAACATAATGTTTATTATCTTCTTTGAAACTTTTTACTGAAAATTCAATATTCAGCAAAAATTGCCAAATTGAATATTTCCAATCATACAGTGAATGCAAGAACCTCTGAGAGATAAATTGATAGATGGCACCCTAGGGATACGTCTTACCATGCAGTACTAATTGGGCATAATTACATAGAAACATTATATTACAATATATAGACATATCTACTGTTAGCGCCTGATTTGGTAGGGAAACTGACCTATTTATTTTTTTTAAATCAAAATTAAATATACCAATATGATGGATACCAATACCAATTGATCTCAATGAATCAAGAAAGCAACAGAATAATAGAAAACAACCTACAAACCATATGAATTATCAACAATAGTAATCCAAGGCCAGGACATACCAAAGAAAAAACCATTCAGCCATTAGGGATTGAAATATCATTATCAAAAACTTGTCAAGAGTCTATATGTATGTATCATTATATTGATTTAGTTAATAATCATTTTTTAAAACAGTGATTTTCAAGTCTGAATGTGGATCTAGGGGACAATTAAACACCCACATTTGGCACATTAGTTTACACTGAATAATAAGCTGACACGAGATTGTAAATGTGAAAACAAACCCTGATAACTATAAGAATAATTTACCAGGATTTACCAGGGGGGGGGAGCTTTTTGACAGTTTTGGCAAAAAAATCATGCCAAAAGTGCTCAGAATGGTGAAAAACTGCATGATTTTGAAAGAATTTCTGTCCAGGGGGGGACCGGCCGCTCCCTCGCAGGCTACGGGCCTGATATAGTATATTATCTGGCCATCTTGACTCATCTAAGGTATTTCCAAGAAAAGAAAAGTTCAGTATGATATGGTATATAGGTGATTTATGACTATGTAGTCTTATTTTTAGGACACACCATTGCAGAAAAACAATATGATGGTCGACTTTTTAAAAAACATCGAAAATCACGAGGGATCAAAAAATAACTCCATCACCATCTTATCAATTCAGCTGAGAAATTCATAACCCAAATTGAAGATTATTTCTCACAAAGTCGATCACATCTATATCCTATTATAAGATGCAATGTGATGATTTTGCAAAGTCAACCCTGACAAAAATCTTGAAGCCAAAACAACCAATCCAAATCTTCATATAAACTCACAAAAGACATGTTTTTGAGAGGGTACCATTTGCCACGATCCTAAATTCTACCATTTAAAATAAGTGACACTTCTAGCCAGCAATTTTGGGAGGAATTTACCAAAATGATCAACTGTCAAAAGATGTTTTTGAAGGAAGTACATGATGTTATAGGATGTTCATAGTGAAATAAATTAATTCTATTATAAAATCGATATCCAGGAATTAGAGGCTAAGTGTTGACTTCCCCCTGAGTTGTGACTTTACCATACAAAAACACAAACTCCCTCCAGTTCTAAATCAAACAATCCAATGTGAAAAACAGTAAAAATTAATGAATAAAGCAAAAGTGAGCATAGTGGAGACTAATATATTCACAAAAATGCCTCAAAATCTCTCACTTTTTAACAATTCAGAGAGAAAAACAGAAATATCTCCAAGGAGATTGAGATATTTTTGAACAGGAATTTCCTCTTGGGAGCATGCTCTACAATGGCTATGAGAGAATCAATTTATTGGAAAATATTGCAGAGAAATCAAACAATTTTCCGAGTGTTTTATCTCCAATTACTGTAATAGCTTCTACTGATAGGACATAATAATTGATGGAAAGATGGACAATGAGAAAAAGATGTGAATGCGTACGACAGGAAGAACAGTAGCTCAGCTTTGACGCCTTTTAGCCACTGGCTGCTATAAAAATTAAGTCTCAATCAGCATTCTGTCATTCTGCATTGGAAGATTGGGATTCCCAAAAGATCTAACAGTATGTACCTTATGATAACATTGTACCCCAAAGGTATGCATACACTGTTTCCCGAATACATACATGTACTGTATCCCTAATAGACTGTACCCCTAATACCTACATGCACTGTACCCCTAACAGACTGTACCCCTAATACATACATGCACTGTAACCCTAACAGACTGTACCCCTAATACATACATGCACTGTACCTCTAATATATACATGCACTGTACTCCTAATACATACATGTACTGTACCCCTAATAGACTGTACTCCTAATACCTACATGCACTGTACCCCTAATAGACTGTACCCCTAATACATACATGTACTGTACCCCTAATACATACATGCACTGTACTCCTAATACATATATGTACTGTACCCCTAATAGACTGTACTCCTAATACCTACATGCACTGTACCCCTAATAGACTGTACCCCTAATACATACATGCACTGTACCCCTAATACATACATGCACTGTTCTCCTAATACATAAATGTACTGTACCCCTAATAGACTGTACTCCTAATACCTACATGCACTGTGCCCCTAATACACAAATGCACTGTACCCCTAATAGAGTATACCCCTAATACATACATGCACTGTACCCCCAATACATACATGCACTGTACAACTAATAGACTGTACCCCTAATACATACATCCACTGTACCCCTAATACATACATGCATTATACCCCTAATACAAACATGCATTGTACCCTTAATAGACTGTTCCCCTAATACATACATCCACTGTACCCCTAATACATACATGCACTATACCCCTAATACAAACATGCACTGTACCCTTAATAGACTGTACCCCTAATACATACATCCACTGTACCCCTAATACATACATGCACTATACCCCTAATACAAACATGCACTGTACCCCTAATACATACATGCACTGTAACCCTAACGCATGCATTGAAGTCCATCCATTGTAATTAAACCAACAAACAACATTCAGTAGAAAAACAATTTGATTCACTGAGTTTTTTCTATTGACACGCTCAGGAGTAATTTGTATAATATTTATTAACATTCAATTTATTGAACTTTATTGATACATTATATTTAAAAAATATAAGGGTATTAATTTAGATCCTTATTAAATACGAACATTTTGGTGTTAACATCAATGTTACACCATTTTCCCTAAGAATTTGGTCAGGGACAAGGACAGAATCTGATGGCTTCCCCGAATATAAAAGTGCTTTTATTTATTGATTTTTCAATATTATTTTAAAAATTGATATACTCTAACAAAATGTAATTACGCCCCCACTAGCATACACTGATATCGACATTAGCCAAAGTAATTGGCATCATTGATGGTTGCAAAGCCTACTACTATCTAAGGAAGAGAGAAGACACCCCTCATGAGATTGGGTTTATCAGAAGGAAACTCCCCAGTCAAATCCTACTTACTATATCAGGAAGAGAGAAGAGACATCTCATAAGATTGGGTTTATCAGAAGACTCCCCAGTTAAATTTCAGTTACAATTTTCAGTTACAATATTATGCCTACATAAAGCAATATTTTTTCCATATTCAAAATCCCATGAAAGACCACAAATATTCCTCTTGAGGTCATTAAAATCTCGACAACAATGAAACTGTATATCTATCCTAATCAGAGAGTAGTATTTACCACTCTACTGGCTGGGGCTCAGGGTTAACCTATGGTGGTTCAGACAAAACCCAATACTATTCTACCTTGGTACATGTACAGTGAAACCTGTATAACTAGAATACCATTAATGTCTCAAAATAGTCATGTACATAGAAGATTTTCCTGTTGCAGAAGTTCATTTATATTAAGAGATAGGTAATGATGACTTTGAAAGTGTTCAACGTATTAAAAAGTCCTACTTTCTGTGAGGTGTTTACTCTGTCTAGAGTCTAGTTTTAAATTCCATTCAAGTGAAGGTGAAGCTTTCTTTTAATAAGCTAACTCAAACAAATGTAAAGGGTATGAGGTGTTCCACTTTACAGCTAGTTTTCCTGTATATGATATATCCTTGATGGATCAAGATCGATAAATCCACAAAAATAACTGATTTATTTTTAGAGTAAACTTTGGCTTACCTGATCCTTTTGACTCAGCAGTTGTCAGCAGTTGCAGCAACAGTAACCATGGTAACCACAATTTCATCCTTCCCATCTCTGCAAATATACATCAAATTGATACATCACAAATCAAATTTCTCACTCAAAACTTTTCAATCACCATGTTCATCTCTTGGATATAATTTCACTCTACTGGTAGAATTCTACCCTTTTTCATAATTTGATTTCACCTCTTAAAAAAGAGATTCATCTACTGCATTCATTAATTGCTATTCAGAGGGTGGAAATTATGTTCCTCTTTAGGGGCAATTACTGTCTCACGATAGTCAACTTCATTCATAACAGTGATCTCCCCAGCATTAAAGCAACTGGGCGCAGCACCCAGCTGAGATTGATAATAGACTTGCACCCAACTGAAAATCCAAAATCCATTTGCACCCACTTGAAAATGAGAAAAATATTGAAAATGGGCATATTTTGACCAATTTTTATCTAAATTGTAAAATTTTGCACCCACTTGAAAAGAAATCCTGTAGAGATCGATGCATAATTACATTCTTAACTAAAAACTCTTCAGCCATTATTTGATGGACAGAGTTCTCTGGATGCACGGAGTGCTCTAGGGAGATGGAAATATATTTTGTAGTCATCCCTGATAGCTAGGAATAAGACCAATCAGTTTAATAACCCAGATGCGAGTAGAAATAATCTTGATTTACGTCATTAAAAATTCAAAATTCAGTCAAAGTAATATCATATTTGAAATCTACATGTAAAATTACATCTAGAAATGTGGTTTTAAAAAGTGTTTATCAACTTTGAAAAATTACTTTTCTTTGAAAATGTGACTTCTAGCTCGGGGAGATTCCCCATAGACCCCATGCTATAAAATCACAAAAAATGAAATATCTTTCCTTTTAGTGGACAGATAATATTTTGCTTTACTGGACATATTTTCATTAGTATAAGTATTAGACACATAAGGGTTATATGAAAATTGAGCCACTTAAATTGATAATATTCAAGTTTAAGGGAACTTTCTTATATACCTGCCATGTTAACTGACCCGAATCAGCCACCTGGTGGTGAAACTGGTAACTACCTACTCGCATTTGGGTAATTGACATCAGATATCTAAGGTAACCAGTTAAGACAAACATATCCTATTAGATTAGATTTGCGTCAAGGACTTCACTTTTTATTGACTTCAAATATACTGAACATAAAAAATGTATTCTACCGCAAGTGTTAAAAGGAACATTGATACACAGTCAAATGTTCAATATACTCGTACACAGGTTTTACAGTATATGCACAATATTTTGACTCTCAAGTACAATCCAATAAGTTAATCCACTTCCTCTTTGAAAATCTCTTTTATATAATATATACAAATACCTTTGTATGAAGAAGATGCTGTTTGATTGTTCTAAAACATTTGTCCATATGTGCTTTATATCCAAGTCTGTTAGGGATTTCATTAGCAGCAGGCAACAGGCGATTTTCACCGGTTGTTTTCACAAAATCACCTGTTGCTTTTAAGGACTTATTACCCTTTTCATGTTAAATTTATGATTTCCATTAATTTTGCCTATTTATTTAGCCTTTTTTGAGAAATTCTAGTGAAATCCCTGTCAGGTGAATTAATTTAATTTTCTGGTAAATGTTTTCTGGCTTAACACCACTGCGTATGCATATTTTCCCCTGGTTATCATGTTTACCTATGAGCTTAGTGTCTTATGCCACTAATATAAACATTTGAAACAATATCAACCTTAAATTCAATGGCTGTAAAGAATGAAAATCGATTTAGAATACGATTAGAGACTGTAATTCCAAAAGCCCAGACATGGGATGGAAATAACAGTGCTTTAATAATTAAACCCGTGAACATCTAATGAATAAAATATCATAGCTGATGTCTAAGAGAATCTTAACTGAAACGCCTTCCTAGATGATGAACACCCCTGTAAGACAAAGATCCCTATATGATGAACACCCTTCTAAAATGAACACCCCTGTAAGATGAACACCCCTGTAAGGTGAACACCCCTGTAAGATGAACACCCCTGTAAGATGAACACCCCTGTAAGATGAACACCCCTGTAAGATGAACACCCCTGTAAGGTGAACACCCCTGTAAGATGAACACCCCTGTAAGATGAACACCCCTGTAAGGTTAACACCCCTGTAAGATGAACACCCCTGTAAGGTGAATACTTTTTGATGGAACCCATTTTTGATCGCTCACTCCAGGCTCACATATTATATCTCACAATGAAAATTTCGAACACTTTTTGCAAAGTTCCAAATGCGTTTTAGATTAGTATTTACTACATATATGCGTGGTTATACAAAGGGAGAGCTTACCTGCAAACAAACCCCTCCCCTCCTGAATTAGCACTAAAGTTAGCATGAAACAATTCAAAAAAGAAACATTAGATCAAACAAGGCATTAACACGCATAATGTATCACTACCTGCTATTTGTTACAAACCTCATGTCATTTGTTACAGCCACCAAACTCTGAACACCAAATGCCAAACACCACCAAGGTCCACAAGAAATTCAGAGACAATAACAATATGTCACCATTTGTGGCAGAGAGAGTATAAAAGCCCAGACTGAGTGCCTGGTATGAACTAACACCTAATAAGATGTAGCATAACAAAATGACAAATCATGTTCTCTATTAAACCTAAATCATTGTAAATTGTTTTAGACACCTCCCTAAATGCCCAGTAGAATCTATTGAAGGATGATTGTACAAATTAAATTGTGTCAAATCAAATTATAAATCTAATCTGTTGAAATTATATCATGAATTGAACAAATATGGTCGCACTTGACAATCACCAACTTTAAGATGAACAGCATGTTTCTAAACCTTAATCTTCTTTCTCTTCTAATTTCTAATATATTTGACATTTTAAAACAATCCCGCCACACTCTCTAAGGATGGTATAATAATGAAAGTCTTGCCCTTTTATACATGTACAGTAAAATTCATATATCCAAACACCTCTCTAATTCGAACACCTCTATAATTCAAACACCTCTCTTATTTGAACACCTCTCTAATTCGAACAAATCTCTTATTTGAACACCTCTCTAATTCGAACACCTATCTTATTTGAACGCCTCTCTAATTCGAACACCTCTCAATATGAACAATTAATCTCTGTCCCAATTTTGTCCTCTCCCATTGATTACCATGTAAAATTTGAAATATGAACACCTGCTAATCTGAACACTTTTGACTGGTCCCTGTAGTGTTCAGATTACACAGGTTTTACTGAACACTAAGCTGATAAGTCATGTTATAGTTGTAATTAATTAACTAATAAATTAACTAATAATTGATAAACTAAAAGAAACAAAGTTAAACTGAGGAAATTGGTACTAATTAATAAAGTTGTATTTCTATTTTTAACATTCATAAAAATTAACATCATGTTTTTTTACCTTATTTTCGGTTTACCCAATTCTCTTTTCAACTATTTACCTTATTCTGTTTTTTCCTTCTTATAGTCCTTAAATACCATATTTCCCATTCTACCATGCTCTATGAACTGTTTGTTGGCTGAATGTGGTATTCCAAGTGCATTCACTCAGAGTCTGAACACACTGATTTATTTAATTGATTTGATTTTATTATCGAATTAACATCCGTATTTATCTAGCACAGTTCTCAAATAAATATCATTTCCTCTAATAATTCTTAAAGAAAGTCTGTGGTGTTCGATTGTTTTTGACATTTTGAAATCGTTCTATCACGCCACACTAAGGATGGACAGATTGGAATGCACAGGTTGCAGAGTGTATCAGATTAAAGACAGAGAAGTTGGAACACTTGCTCTGTAACAACACCTACAGGTAATGTGTGAAGATACCTGTGTCTTAACCCTTACAAAAAATCTATAAATAATCCAACAATTCGACTCACCATTCTCTTAAAATTTGAATCAGGGGTGATATTTTGGGCATTTTTATATAATTAAAAGTATCATCTTCAACTGTATTTTTATTATCGTTTAGTTTACACTCTAATTTTAGTTGTATTTCGTTAAACAAAACATGAGGATTTTGATGTTTTCTCCGAGGGCCAGGATCGGAGAGGAACAGCTGTTTCAGATCATAGAATAGTTAGAATAAATCCCCAATTAGCACGATGAGAACTCTAACCTTCTTGATGCTGAATTCCTGATAAAACCTCCGAAAAGGGAATTTTAAAAATACAAAGTTTCCACTTATGATCGCCATGAGTTGCAAATATACAACTTTATCAAACTCCGAGGTCATTAATCCTGGCCTTGCTTTGGATACAGTTTCTTATTTCCCTTGGGTGACATCAGATAAATTGCTATATTTTGCGAGGTCTTACATTCTCATTATACCTGTTAAAGCATCCAGTCACTACTTGTAGATACAACATAATTAGACATGCAAGTATACTGGAGTTCTCTCATACGCTTCTGCTTCGAATACATCCACACTTTACTTCATTTAACATATCCTCCGCAAAAGTAGCGATTGAAAAACACAGCTTTCGCAGACAGTTAAGACGCTTCAATAAACTCACTTGATTTATATGCTAAATATTTTCAGACTACAATTCTTTGAAGACTTTTTAGCCTCCAACAGGATGTACATGTATAATTTAGAAATTGTACAAAATTGTAAAGGGAAGGCAAATTATATTTTTTCAAAAATTCTTAGGGCCCTTTTGAAAATTTGGGCCTATTTTTCAAAAATAGATTCTAATTCGTATAAAAAGGCCTCTTTTTCAAAATAAATCTAAGGCCTAAAATGAAATCCGCCAGTTTGTTTGAATTTCTATTCATTTTATCTTAACATTCACTTTCAGAAAGAAACAATGACAAATGCAGCTATAGATTTTTATTCATTTGCCATTGATTTGATTTTAATGGTTCATTTCTCCCAGTATGATGCGAAATGCAGAAAGGACACGATGACATGACTGTAACCGTATTCACACCAGTTAGCACTATTCTCATTCTACTTATCATACTACATTCGCAATGGGATAAAGTTTTGCACATTCAATAATGCAGCATAAGTTTAGACCAAATCAG